CTTTATTTGATTCATCACACTTTTAAACGACGATATATTGCCGATAATCAGCATTCTCGTGGAATTTTAGGAACGATTCCTACAATTTTCTCGCTTAGAGGCGAACTCTACTATTTAATTAAAATTTATCGCAAAATGAAGAGCGGGCTTAGAATCCTTCCCTACAACCAAGTGCATAGTGCACGTGGAAAACTTTTCCGATGCAACAGCGGCGTTTTTCCCTCTTTCGTCCTCAAAGGCACTTCCAGATGCCTGTTTTCAAACCCTGGAAAAATATACCTGCATGTCGCCTCTATTTTTGGCAGTAAATGGAGGTTTTCTTAGCAGACGCAGGGGCGGATATCGGTTTTCTTTAATTACGCTCGTCGGGAGATTGTTAAATGCAATTGCAAGTCTGCCTGCACAAAGAGATGCTCCAGTGTTAAAGCTCAAGTTCAATGCACTCTCATCTGCACGCAATGTTCTGGGGGTACTCGTATTAGTCATTGCAATAATAGCTTAACAAAAGTTATTATAAATTGATCGAATTTTAAAAAAAATCCTACTAACGCAGAGGACATCATCGATGCCCCCTTAGTGTGCCTTAAATGTCATGCAGGGCGGTTATTGGGCACATTTTAAAAGAAGGGGGGGTATCGTGGCTGATATGATGCTCGGATATGGAGAGTTTCCTAAAAATTGAAAGTCCGAAGAAACTCTACTACGTGAACTTTTTGGAGTTCCCAGATTCGTTGTTGGGAAGAATTCTAAACTCGTCATTGACCTTTTAGCGATCAATTTTAATGAGTCAGTTGCGCTGGTTACAGAATCGTGTTTTGACATTTGATTCTTGTGGATCAGCTAAAAACAAAAAGATTTATACGAACGATATTATACGAGCCTGAAAAATGAGAGCAAGGTGGAAGAGACCAAAAGTGTCACTAAAGTAGTGACACCCAAGTGGTATCCAAAGCGGTACCGCTTTGGATGACGTCAAAAACCGAATTTTTCAAAGTTGGATATCTTGGTCAATATTGAAAGAAGAAAGCTTTTGTCCGTATAAATCTTAGGAAACTCTCCATATCCGAGCATCATATCAGCCACGATACCCCCCCTTCTTTTAAAATGTGCCCAATAACCGCCCTGCATGACATTTAAGGCACACTAAGGGGGCATCGATGATGTCCTCTGCGTTAGTAGGATTTTTTTTAAAATTCGATCAATTTATAATAACTTTTGTTAAGCTATTATTGCAATGACTAATACGAGTACCCCCAGAACATTGCGTGCAGATGAGAGTGCATTGAACTTGAGCTTTAACACTGGAGCATCTCTTTGTGCAGGCAGACTTGCAATTGCATTTAACAATCTCCCGACGAGCGTAATTAAAGAAAACCGATATCCGCCCCTGCGTCTGCTAAGAAAACCTCCATTTACTGCCAAAAATAGAGGCGACATGCAGGTATATTTTTCCAGGGTTTGAAAACAGGCATCTGGAAGTGCCTTTGAGGACGAAAGAGGGAAAAACGCCGCTGTTGCATCGGAAAAGTTTTCCACGTGCACTATGCACTTGGTTGTAGGGAAGGATTCTAAGCCCGCTCTTCATTTTGCGATAAATTTTAATTAAATAGTAGAGTTCGCCTCTAAGCGAGAAAATTGTAGGAATCGTTCCTAAAATTCCACGAGAATGCTGATTATCGGCAATATATCGTCGTTTAAAAGTGTGATGAATCAAATAAAGAATCAAATTTGTTGCGGTTTCATCCATCTCCATCTCATAAAAACTTAAGGAATAGTATGTAATTAGTTCGTTATACATTTTTTCATATTTATCATGTTAACCAGAGTATTTTTTTTTTATAGGTATTCATTTCGTTTCAAGAGGGTATGAAAGGATTTTCCAACATAAACAATTTTCATGAAAACTTTGCGATGAATGATCAAAAAACAGCGAATATTCCAGTTCTGTAGCGCATGAACGCGGGCCGACGCGAGGTTGCACGGCGCATAAGTGGCGAACCTCTACCCGAGCGCGCGACCAAAACCGTCCTCACGCGTTTTCTATTCGTCACAAAAAAAAGGTTTTGGTATCGTGTTGAAGGTCAGAAAATCCTCCACCCACCTCAAGAAAATAAAGGGCTCTAATTGCGCCCAGAAACAAAAAATCAACGGCTGTTAAGATGATCGAAATTAAAAAATTCACGTATTTTTTCATAATATGGCAAATTATTTGAAGGTAAATGTAAAAATGCACATTATTTGAAAAGGTCTTTATAGTAGCTTTCAAACGAGACCAAAAGTTTGAAAATCGAACGAATGGTTGGAGAGATACAGCGCGTTTTACATGTGTGAAGCGCGCCCGTGGCCATAAACGCGGGGTGGAAATCGCGCGCCGCGGCCGATCGCGCGACACTTAAATGGCTCTCGCGGGCTAACTACTCGTAGCACAAAAATGGTTTTGGTATCAAATTAAACGCGAGATTAAGACCCATCTCTTTTACTGAAGAGAAAATATCAATTTTCCTGCTCTGTTAAAAGTTATTTTGCTTTGAAATTTTAGGAATTTTCAAGGAAAAATTTTTTTGTAAAATTTCGGACAAATTGTTGGCCAAGTTGAATCTGTTATAATTTATTCATATTCTAGGCCCTTTTAGCTCTCTTTTAAAAAAAAGAAAATCAAAATCGGATAATTAGCAACAGAGATATGGCACTTCAAAAAAACGCTTGGCCGCCATCTTTAACGGCCGCCATCTTGGATCCTGCACGGATTTGAAAGTGGTTCTACGGACAAAAACTTTTATTTTTCCATCTAGTATAACCTCCCGAAGTGGCAATTTCCAATAAAAAAATCGTCGATTTTGATCGTACCCACCGTACTAATAAGGAAGAAAAAATGAAAGGTTATGAATAAGAGGTTAAATAATTCGAGATAAAGAGCAAACGTTATTTCAGGAATGTCAATCTGAATTATACCTAGTTTGATTACGATACAGTAACTGTACTAGGATTTTTTGAAGGTTCAGAACCTGGTATGCTTTACGGTCATAAAGCTTCGTCAGGATTTTCTAAGGTTGAGGACCTAGTTCAGCACCGATATTTCGCTGCTGCGCTAGGATTTGAAAGGAAGGTTGTGACAGGTTAATTAAGTGGACGTAATCCTAAGGACTGTTCGCACTCTATTCCGGTTTCGAGCATGCAAGATTTTACACTAGAAACTGGATCCGGCCCGAGGGACCAATTTTATGAGCGATATAAAGGGGGAAAACTTAGAAAAAAAATAAGAGGAGGAGAAAAAATTGGATATGAGAAAGGAGCGAAACAGAAAAGAGGGGGGGGGGATAAATTAAAACCGTGGGACCAGCTTATTTTGAGGAAAAAGAAGCAAACCAGAAAAGAAAGAAAAGAGCTGAGAGGTGAAAAAGTGACTAAAATAAATGATCGGCCGAAAGGGGGAAAGAAAAGAACGTTCTAATGCAAATAGAAGATTTGCATTAAAGCATGCCGCTAAATTGAGGGAGATTGAACAAATGATTCAATGCCACAATTTAGAGGTTAGGTTGAAATGGGGATAATGAGGAATTTGGAATATTAAATGAGATAATTGAATAGTACGTTCTAATAGGCACAGAAGGTGCGTATTAAAGCAAGTCGGCTGATTGCATGAAACCTTCACTATCGGGATAGTGAACGTGGCATGCAATTAGTGGAGTATACTTTTTTGGGATAGCCCAAAAGCAGGACAGGCGATACACCTGCGGTGAAGAGTGAATTGAACCTGTAAAGGGAAAGAATATTAATACGTAGAGTGATAAGGCAGCGCTTGTGGCGTACCTTTCATCACTACGCAGCGATTACTGGAGAGAGTCAAGCTGGACTTCAGAGAACCGGGACGAGGTAACGTCGGTTTCCTTCATACAGCGAGCAGGCGCCAGGTGATCACGTTGCTTCGTGGGGACCGTCGATTGACGGGACTTGCATAGAGCGGGAAGATGTCCTTTCCAACAATGGAGAGCCAGAGTCCTTATCCTTGTTCAGAGTCCACCTTGGCAGGGGCGTCGGGTAGAGGTTCTGGATCCGGGAGAGAACTGCGTCCGTGGTGAGGTCCGGGTCCGTCTTCTTCAGCGTGCTGGATACAAGTGATTCTAAGGCAGAGAGTATGGAAGGTTATAGGCCCGACTCAATGCTAGGTAATTGAAACAGAAGCGCTCGCAGCGCGCTCGATGGCGACGTACGCAACTACTATTTTCTATTGTTTTCCAGTGACTAGCGGCGGGTATGTTGCTGCCGGACTACCTCCACGTAGGCAATATTTTATACATCGTCCGTCCGCAACTCTCGCTTAGCCAATCAGCGCAGTGGTACGGGATTCCGCTCGCCGCGCACTCTCGCGCCAACGTACGCAACTGCTTGCTCACAGCTCCAGCTTCTGTTTCAATTCTTCCCTATCCAGTCGGGCCTCTAACCTTCCATACTCTCTGCTGCTTCCGTGGTGAGGTCCGGGTCCGTCTTCTTCAGCGTGCTGGATACAAGTGATTCTAAGGTGCGAGCGGCTGACGTCTTGAGCGCCGCGCAAGAGCCAAAAGGAACCGAGCGGGGACGGCCGCTAGGTGGGGGGCTCCAGGGGGAGCGGATCTGTGTTTGCCGTGGACTTTGAAAGTTGGAGTTGAATGATGAGATTTGAACTTTATTGGTCGATAAAGGTTTGAGCAGGTTGGGCTTAATGAGTACTTCCAGAATATATATAGGTTTTGGGGTCCATCAGAGAACCGAAGCTAAAGAAGGTGAAAAATTTGGAAAATTTGCATATGGATGGGACTCATAGTTGCGAAGAAATACGGAGGTAATGAAGATAAATTTGAGAATAAATATGAAAGAAAGGTTGGGAACATGAAAAGGGTGTTTAAGGCAGGTGATTAAATGGTCAGGAAGAGCACTTTCAATTTTAATAGAAGGTAAAGGACACCTTTTAAGGACGCACAAATGGGAGGCGGGTCAAGGTGTGCATGAGGTGGAATAATCAATTAGTTACCGCGGGCGCGCAATGTGATTGGCCGGTGTTTTTCGCGCTTCGCGTCGCGAAAACAAAAGAGTGGTAAATTGATGCCCGCCCCTCTGAGAATAGCAAGTTCGGGTGTCAAACAAGGACACTTGGATATAATGAAATTTTGAATGCCGGTGAATTGAGTTTAAACTTATTTTTATGAAATTAGTGAGTGATTAAATAATATATAAAATTGAGAGGATCCTCAAGAGTGAGGGGGGGGGGATAAAAATGAGTATGATGAAATTTCCTAAAATTGCTCTAAGTTTACACTCTAAAGAGTGTTTGTAATCGATGTTGAATGTTGGGTGTTAAGTGGGGGTTATTTATTTGAACTTGTTTTACGATGTAAAGTTTATCAAAGGACAAGAATTCTGCAAAGTGAACGATCCATTCACTACCGAAAATACTGTTGCATGGAAAATCTACAACAAATAGATTCAAAAACTTGGTTTTGCCTCTAAATTGCACTTTGACTTTGGCGCATCCCAGACACTTAAAAGATTCTTTGGTAAAACTGAAAAATGGCCTATTTGTAGGATGTAGAAGTGTGTTCGGAAACAGTTTTTTAAAGGTGTGGACATTGATGACTGAACAAGCACCACCGGTGTCTAACTCCATTTTGACGAGTTGATCGTTAATGTAAACTTCCAAAAAAGTTGGGGGTGGTGGAGCGTTAAGGATGGATTTATCTGAGTAAGAAACCTTATGTATCGACGCTCCAAAGTACGAAATACCTGTATCAGGATACTCCGTCTCCTGAAAATTAACGTTGTTGGTGGGTTTTTTACCACATACTTCAAGCAAGTGGCCAACATGTTTACAGTAATTACACCTAGAGTGTCTGTACTTACAATCCCTTCTTTCATGCTCAACATTGCAAGAGCGACAAGAGGCATTGATGAACTTCTTTTGATTCAGCTGAGTCGAAGACTGCTTATCACTAGAGAAGTTCGGCTTGTTACCTTGATTTGAGCGTTGTTGAGATTTAGAACGGAAATTTGATGATTGCTTTTTCTTAACTTTTGGTTTGCTATCGTAGAATTTGTGAACTGTTGCTGGCTGATTTGGTTTTAGATGAGAGGAAGCCTCCTGTGATGCTTCAAGGGCTTGAGCTATCTTGAGAGCTTCTTCGAACTGATCTGGCTGTTTAGTAATAATCTCGTCACGGATGTCATCATCGAGTCCTCCATGGATGAACTGAACAATTAGAGAACTACTTAGAAAATCATCGAATTTACAAAATCTTGCTGCCGCTTTGAGACGAGCCGCAAATTCGTGAACCTTTTCTCCATCTCTCTGGAAGACTTTGCGAAAATTGATAGCTTCCGTGTATTTATTCTTTTTCTTCACAAAATGATCAATGAGCATGTTACAAATCACTTCAAAGGACAGTGATTCAACCTTAGAGGGGTAAGCAAGTTCTCTGAGAGTGGAGTTGAGCTCTGCCCCCATGTGAATACGCAGATTTGCTGCCCATTCTTCCTGAGGTACTTTACACTGACCTAACTGAAGTTTAAACCGATCCAAGTAGTCATCTAGTAATTCAGGTGAATTCAGATTATAGGATTCAAAGCTGAATCGGGGAGGCCGATTTAAGGATCCAGCCTGTTGAGATAACTGGAGTTTCGTGAGCTGTGTAACGAGATTTGTTAACAGAGAAATTTGATCATGGATCGAGGGTGATTCTGACCCTGTGGAAGCATTACTATCGTCAGGCATTTGAGTGAAGAAAATAGTAATAAAAATGAGATTACCGAGAGACGTGTAGATTCGATCGAAATTCTAAATTCCGTTTCAACGTGCAAGAAGTGAGTGGCCTAACCTTATCAGCAGCACAGCACCATGACGGAAATAAAATTTGATCACCTGGAACGTGATACAAGTGGCGCTGCGTTTCATGGTTTCGTGAAAGTCCTTCGTGCTTCGGATCCCGTACTCGTCGCCATTATAATATCGCAAGAGATGCCTTTGAAGGAAAAGGTGAAAAGCGAGACACTGGTCTAAGAAGATCACATTTTATTGATAAGCTTACAAGTGCCCAACCAGGCTTCACAACCTACTTTTTTTTTTTTTTTTTTTTTTTTACACTACCAACTTGACGGATACCACATTTTTTTTTTTTTTTTTTTTTTTTATAATATGATTTATTGGTAACTATCACAAAAGGATATTATAACCATTGTACATAATTGTAAATAAGTAGATTTAACTGACAACAGAGTAGACAGTTTTGTTTATAAAAGGGACCGAAGTCCAAAAAGAGAAAAATGACTCCTGAAGCCCACACCCGGCCAGGAGGGCACCCCCCCGCACGCAGGGAGAAGACGAGCCCCCACTCCATACAGCCAGGGATCCCCCACCCCCAAAGCCCGGACGACAGCCGGCCGTCACCCTGACTACTTTTTGCGCGGCAGGCGCTAACCGCCTGCACTGACTGTCACCAAGCAAAGGGAGGAGAGACCCCCCGCCGAAGGGAGGGGCACCGCACCCACGCACGACGGGACACCCCCCCAGCCGGGCGCAAGCGACAGGAGCCAATGTCTTTAGTGATCGCCGACCGGCGCACGCGGGGCTAAAACCGCCGTCCGATATGGGCCTTGTGCTGATGTTGGGACCGTCCGTCCATGCCCTCGCCGCCCAAGAAATAGTACGCTCCTCTAGTGCAAGCCACTCCTCCCCGCCGCTGCCTTCGAGTCCTTTGTGAGTCTGTAACGTCAAGCTGAACCAACCAACAAATCCAGCTATTTTTCTAATAGGAGAGTTGTGGAATTGGGTTCCCAATCCAATCCACAGAGCGACGCCTTCCCCACTCCGCACCTTCTAGCTACGACCGAGACTTGTCGCCGGCATTCGAGTCACGTTTGAGTCTAATCAACTTGGAGAGTAATAAAAACCGATAAAGACGTTATCAAGCACAACTTATCTCTCCCATGTCGCTGCGGTGTTGGCTAGATCGAAGATGATGCACGAAAAGTCTAAGAATTTCACCATTTCTATCAGAATATCTTCGATCTGCGAAGTTGCACTTGAATGTTTCTAGTAGGGAAAGAATTTAGAACATGTTTCTAAAAGACTTTAGCACAATAGGGCGGCAAAAACACTTCCGAACGGCAAAAAAGTGGGTCTAATGACGGGAGCGACCACTCGCGTGACCGCTCCGCGCCACAGTTATAGCACGACTGTTTTTTTGCACTTGAATGTTTCTAGTAGGGAAAGCACAACCTACTAGGGCAAATCTCCCTAGGAATACATACTACCAACTTGACGGATACCACACGTCCCTTATCACAAAAACGAAGAAATAATATTCTTCTTAGTCCCAAGTAACAAAGGGGGGGGGGGTCCCCATGTAAACAAGGGGGTAACATAACCTCAATTCGGGACTTGCTTCGATACATTGAGTAAAACTAATTTATCCGATGGGGTATTGGGGATTTACCAGATAGAAACTTACATTTGAGGATATATAGAACTCATAATCGCAAGAAAATCCGGCAGAAACTGTCCGAAACTACCTAGCATCAGCGTTTGTAAATTGACTTTCTGTTCCTTACGGGAAATCCCATGTGAATTGAACCGACCGAATCCCAGTTAGGGCACCAGGCCTAAAATCGCGAAATATGGGTGGATTTCAGCTAATGGGATAAAATATGGGAAAGACGTGCATTTGGTTGCTCAAAATTTTCAATTATAATAATTTCTCTCGATGTTTGATTTTTTGCGTAGAAGCAGGTCACACTAGGGTGCGTCAAAAAAAATGAAAGTCTGAAATGTTCTGCTCCTCAGGCGGCAATCGATGACGTTTGGTAAAAAAGCATGTTTGCCAAAATTTGGGTCAATGTCAACCATTTTAAATGGTGCCAAAGGTCAATTTTGTGATAGAATCATGATATTTAGGTTTAGACCTCGATTTCGTACAAAAAACTCGATTTTACGCTGAAATCGTGCGTTTACAAGAAAAATGCCACATACCTCAAGTTGTAGAAGATGAAATTTTACTCCAGGAAGACGTCTTTGTGAACGATAAAAATCCAATTGAACTAGAAAAACTCACCTCGGTATTTATTATTTTGGTCCTTAGAATTTCCTAGGTCTTACAAAGTAGCGGTTCAAAAGACTCATTTTTCACGAAAATAAGTCGAAACAGGGTATAAATGAAGTGTAGGCAAGTGTTGAGGATGCAAATGTCATCAGAACTTCCTCATTTTCAAAAAAAGGTTCCAACTATTTTGCACAATCCAAAAAGCCAATGAAAGATTCGTTCTTCTTGTGCCGAAATACCTCCGGATACAAAGTCTCATACAAATCTAACGATAAGCAGCCTAAATATCTACTTCCCGCTCTAAGTCGCCATTTTGAAGAGGACTGACTTTTCTGGAAAACTAATGCCAGAGTCGTTTTTGTCGTCCCGAAAAAACCTTAGGATTCTGAGCTTCAGAGCAATCCGCCGATAAAAAACGGGGTTGCCAAATTTCCGCCATTTTGTCAAATATCAACATTTTGACCTGCTGTTTGCGTCAAAAATTTTATTTTTTCATTATCCTACGATTGAGGTATCACAAAAGGGGAGTTGCCATTTGAAAAAAAAAGTTAGCCCCCGCCCCCCAAAATTTTGTGGGACCAAAAAGTTGCTACTTTAGACCGAGGAACATTGCTGAAGTTTCAAATTTTCTACCTCAATTAGGCAAAAAGTTGCAGGGGTGGTAGGTGACTTTTTGATAACCCTGTATATATTTTGTGATTCCTCGAGTGACCCTTTATATCTGGTACTGAAATATTATTTTGTGCATCATAATGTTCTTCATCAGAGTCACTTGGAAATATTTAGAATCGTCAAAGTGGAACCACAGTAAAACTCACTTATATCGTTGTATGTATGTGTTTACTGAAATACCGCCTTTATCGTTATATGGGCATATCAATTTTCCTCGCATCAGAACAGTCTAAAAATTCCCCTCTACATTAGAACCGCTTGTATTTGATCAAGCCTACCTTGTGATGTATTTTTTTTTCTATCATTTTTATGTGAAAAATTAAATGTCCAAAATTTTCTTGTTTTTTTGTCGGCCAATTTGTGGCATCATGAAAGAAAGGTACATAAATTGCTGTACAAATTGATTTTGTAGGACATTTTATGAACTTTGATTTTGTGTGTATACACTTTTTGCTAAAACAGCCTTTTTTGAATTTTTTTTGGTTGAAAAAATGGATCAAGAAAAAATCAAGTTCTCACCTTGGAATCTAATTTTTTCTCAACTAATTATTTTCACATCCTGGCTCTGATGGTTGAATTTTTTTCCCCCCCCCCCTCAGCGAGCAGAAAAGCGTAAAGGCAGCAGTATATCAAGTTTGAACAAAATTCGAAAAAAGGCATTGAATAGTTTGTCCATCAATTTTGAATCCTTGGTCAAGCAAACGGATTCGTCTATTTTATTAACAAGTTTCAATACAGCCTTGGAGACAGCTGTTGACAGCAATAATGAAGAAAGTATTGACAGATTGACTCCCTGTATCGGACAGTTCATAGCAGTAGCTGTATGTATTACATTTTCTATTCTCACTTGCCAAATTAAATTCGAGCTGCCATTTTTAAGGAGTGGCCATCCCATGGGGAGTACGCATATTTCTTAAGTTTGATCCATAACTGTTGCCAAAATTTAGATAAAAATCATAATTTACCCAAAAATTGGGAATCTGGTCTTTTAATCATAAGATACTCCATAAAGTATTATATACCTGGAAGAGACATGGGTTACGCTTGGGAGGTAAGGGATAATGTTCCCTAGGAGACCAATTCATACTTCAGTTGTCCAGCAGTCACTTGATCAGCTGTGCTACTGTCACAAATAGACAAGTTTTTAAAGACTCCATAAATCGCACATATTATTAAGTCTGTTACTTGAGCATTAGCTAAAATGTGTGACAATGTATGGATATTGTAATACTCCCTGCTGCCGCCAGAGAGGAGAGAGACAGCGCGGGCTGCTGAGCAGCGATCGGGAGGGGGCCGCTGCAGCTTACGGACGACTAGCGCGGACCAGACTGAGGTCTGACAGTCCAGTACAGACCTCCCGAAGAGGAGGATAATTTATAGGATTTTTGCTCGATTTCTCCTTTCTATATTTTGCCATCCATAAATTATTGTTCTTCCATTTTTCCATATCGACAGCCCTCTCACAAACTCATGACGCTACGTATGGTGCTGCATGTGTGCTGGTGCGGAGCGCTTGGATTTTGAGAAAATAAGACAGATCAGTTCACCGACGATTGTCGATAGACGTCGTAGGTGAATTGACCCGTCGTCACAATATAGCACCTGAATGGTCTGCGATAGGTCCTAGGTTTGAGTTCACTTGTGGCTTAACATTTTCATTTTAATACAATAAAATTTCCGCGGATTTGGTCTACTGTTATTTGGATGTTGATAGTCAGTATGATTTTACTGATCTCTATCGGCCACTTTCATCAGGAACTATTGTTATTGCTGGTAAATATGCGACTTATTTACATTCATCCTACAATTAGAACATTTATAGTTACTTTATTGGGTTAATTTTCATGGCTCCTGTTTGCAAATTTTGCCTATAATAGCCCACCAATAGTCTAGCTTGGTACCCACGTTGCAAATGCTGCCACTGTTGAATAGGCTGTGTTCGCAGTATCAACGCAATTCTTTATGGATCCTTTTGAAATATTTACGCCAAAAGGAACTATGTTGCATGCAAATGCTATGCTTATAGTTCATTTCGGCATAAATTTGTCCCTTTTTTGGGGCCAAGTTTCCACTTCTCCTGGTTATTGCGTACAAACCTGACTCTTCTAGGTATTTTGCTTTTCATGGACATTCTGTACATTGCTTTATTGACTCATGACGTCATTGACTTCATTGACTATAGACTTATGACCCCCAAGGTTTTGAAAGTGAATTTTTTAGTCATAGCCACGACTCAAGGGTTCTGAAAAGTAAAATTTAACACTCCTTTATTGTGTTTTTAGCTAGTTTTACGTAGAGTGCTTTTAATTATGGTACAGTATTTCACCAGTACGGAAGAAATTTCTAATTCATCCTAAATATGTGCATAGTGATTGTTGACTTCCCCTCCATTAAGTTGATTTGAGTATCTTGAAAAAATAATATTTATTTTAATTTTTCTGCTTTCAGTTAATACAAGTTGATTCTGATCCAGGAAGTATCGTATTTTTAAGAACTCTTGTAATACATCGGAAAAAATTCAGAGAATTTGTTACAATAGATTTTCTAAGGAAAGTATGGAAAATTTTCCTTGCCCAGTTATCCATCGAGGCTCTTAAGGATGTATTAGATGTGTTATTTACAAATGAACTTGAAAGAATTATGAACCAGTCCAAAAACTTTTTGGTAAGTCTCTTTCTAGTGTATTTTCGGAAGAAAATACCTTCACTATTGCATTCTCCCATAATTTTGGACCCAGACCTGAGACAGCTAGAAGAGCACCGATCTCTGGTCGTAAATCAAGAACATATACACCATTCAAATTTATCTGTATGTATATATCAGTTTCCCAGAGCTAGAAGGCACCAAACTTACCAAGGTTTAGTCCTCTCTGTACATCAGGGGAAAACTGAATGTCAGCCCCAGTGATACTAATGTAAATCACAATCTTTGCCGTATCTCATAACTGGTGTAAGATAGGGCTACCAAATTTACTGCACAAGCGAAACTGTTACTGGAGATTTTGGAAACGCCACTACCTCGATTTTGCCAAAAGTGAGGGTAAGGTACCTTTTGGACTGATATATATGTATGTAACACACCATTTTGCCGGGGAAACAAAGCCAAAAAGTTCCAAAAATTTCAATCAGAGTCAAAAAATATTTGAGCTCTAATGAGTACCGATCCAAGACTGAGGGAGAGAGTGTTCAGCTCAGGCAGCTTGCATTGGGATATTGAGGTCATGCCAAGGATGTCACACAACGTTCTCGGCATTACCTCAATTTAATATTCCAATGCAAGCTGCCTGAACTGAACGCTCTCCCTCCTCAGTCTTGTGCTGTTTCTCATTAGAGCTCAAAAGTGTATGGACTCTCATTGAAATTTTGGACGTTTTTGGCTTTGTTTTCCCTGCAAAATGGTGTGGACCCAGCACAATTTCACCACCTTGTTTCATACAGTGCGGGGTATTTCTTAGTGCTTTTTCTCATATAATGCATGTTAAAATGAAAAGAAACACTTAGAGGGGGCCTGAACTGTACGTAACAAGGTGGTAAATGGTAAAAACTCCACCCCTCAAAATCTGTTGCCTCAAATTTCAATTTTTTTCGCAGAATGGTAGCTCTAATAAGGCTCTACAAAATGCAAAATATTTGGTCAACATACATCCTGCAACATATGCAAGATAAAACAACTCAAAAATCGGAAAATCTGTAAGAAGGCGGTATTATATACATACATAAATACATAAATACATACAAAACAAGGCAATAAAATGTTGCTGGGTCCACACCATTCCGCAGGGAAAAAAAGCCAAAAAATTCATAAATTTCGAGTCAACAATAACCTAACAGCAGAAGCTCTAATAGGTACCAGTACAAGACTGAGGGGGAGAGTGTTCAGGCAGCTTGCATTGGAATATTAAGTTGAAGGTCACGCCGAGAGATCTATAACGTTTTGGGTCTCTTTAGACCTGAACACTCCCTGCAAAATGGTATGGACCCAGCAACATTTTACCACTTTGTTATGAATGTATACATATATGAATGTATACATTCTCCCCCATCAGTTTCGTACTAGTGCGCATTAGAGCTCAAAAATAATTTTGACTCTAATTTTAATTTTTGGAACTCCTTGGCTTTGATTTCCCCGCGAAATGGTGTGGACCCAGCCCCATTTCTCCACCTTGTTACATACAGTTTCGGGCCACTTCTTAGTGTTTTTTTTCTTCATTTGTACGCACAATTTGGGGATATGTGTTCTCCCGTTCGGGAGCGGGCGGTTGCGTCTAGATGCGTTCGCATTTCCAACCAGCCTGATCATCATTTTTTCGGGTTCTTCTTGTTTGTTATGAGAGTTGTTCAGCGGTGACGGTAGATGGCGCGAGGATCACACTTTTGTGTCATGCCTCGGATCATATCCATGACGGCGTTTTAATGCCGTCTTGGATTTTGCGGCATGTTAAGTTGGGTTCACTGCAGAGTGTGATCTACTGATCGGTGGTGAAACTGCAGGAATGCGTATATCGGTTTGCGGCGTTGCAGACTTCCTGTCATACTTTATTTTTCATATGGAAAACCACTTAACATCATTTACTGAGCACTTCGGATATTTTTCTTCTCAATGGGAAGAATATTCTGTGAAAATTTCAAACCACAATGTTGCTTCGGTTTCCTTTTAAAAAATAAAATAGGAGCGGAGATTTTCAAACACCGCAACCGATATACGCACTTTTGCAGTTCCACCATCGTGATGAGGTCTAAAAAGGCCCAAACCGGTATAGATCTCTCGACGTTACTCCAACTTAATATTCCTATGCAAACTGCCTGAGCTGAACACTCTCCCCCCTAAGTTTTGTACTGGTGCGCATTAGAGCTCAAAAATAATTTTGACCCTAATTTTAATTTTTGGAACTCCTTGGCTTTGATTTCCCCGCGAAATGGTGTGGACCCAGCACCATTTGTCCACCTTGTTACCCACAGTTTCGGGCCATTTCTTAGTATTTTATGTATACATACGTATGCATACGTATATGTATGTTTCAGCTTTTATCCCAAATTTTATTGTGTCGAATTTTCATATATCTATGTATGTATCTCTGTATTTTTTCAGATTTTCCGATTTTTGAGTAGTTATATCTTTCTCATGATGTAAGATATATGTTGACTAATTTGATTGCATTTTACAGAGGTCTGCGAGAGTCATCCCTATTCATTTTAAGAACTATTCCATTTGATCTTTTATGCAGCAAAATAATGTTTTCCAGGTTTTTATCAGAGCTAATATTCTGCAAAGAAAGTTAAAATTTGAGGCAATAGATTTTGGGGGGTGGGGTTCGAAAGTGGGGGAGGTCAAATCTTGTCCACTTGATAACTCAAGTTAAATTGAATACTTTGAGCTGAAAGGAGTATCGTTTTGGGCCTTTTCTGGCCCCACCTGGATTTTGCTGAATGTTTCATATTTTCTAAGTACTAGTCCTAGGTGGACTTTATGCCAAATATTTTACCGAACGGAGCCCATGCAAAGGTGCAACAACGCCTCAAACCCAGAACCTCGGCATCGAAAAATAGTTATTTTCGTCGACTTTTTCAACTGTTATCACTCTTTCAGCAGATGATTCCCATGTATTTTTTTGCGTACTTTCCGTTTCTGGCCTTTTTAAAGGCCTCCAATAAAGTTTAAGGGGCCTTATAGCCCATTGTTGCCATTTTTAGCCCATTTTTAGGGTTTTTTTCAATTTTACACACACAGAAATCAATTCAAACTAAGAACCGTGTATGTTTTTGAAAAGAACGCATAAAAATGAATATAAAAAGTTCCGTGAAACTTTTTCCTGCGTTGCCAAATTTTCGAGAAAAATCGTCCTTAAGAGCCAAAAATGGCAAAAATTCGATAAATTGCCACGCTTAAAGTTCAAGAAAGTGGGGTACAACTTTTATATCGACGTACGTAACAGCTCTTACTTATATATACAAAATATAAAAAAATTATCGTTGTACCAGCAGCCTGATTGTTGAAATTGTTTGTTTGTCGGGACGACATAGATGACATAGGTTAAAAGACGGAGCGTGATTGGTCGGCTATGTCTTATCGCTACTTTGTCGTGCCTTTGTCAGGTGAAATGAACGACATACTTTCGGGAACTTAAGAGGTGCCGTTAGCTTGTCGTGTGTTCAACCCGACATAGGCATGACAAAGCAGCGATAAGACATAGCCAACCAATCACGCTCCGCCTTTTAACCTGTATCATCTATGTCGTCCCGACAAACAAACAATTTCAACAATCAGGCTGCTGGATTCCCACAATGTGGAAATTGACCGGGATGTCGATTTTAGCGGCTTTTTTTTACTTGAAGGTAGCTTTTTTGAATGTTTTTCGACTTTAGTCACCCTCAATGGGTGTGTACTATACAGGGTGATCCAAAAGTCCCTTCCACCCCCTCTAACTTTTTACCTAATTGA